TTCATAAGATTTGTTCTAACATCTGGTCCTCGGGTTTTGTTCCAGCAGACTGGAAAGATGGAATATTTCTTCCTTTCTACAAAGGGAAAGGGTCAAAAATGGCTTGCAGCAGTTACCGTCCCATCACCCTGCAGTTACCGTCCCATCTACTCCCAATCTTTCCACTTCAGATGCAATTCTTGCTTTGCGTATACTTTGCTGAATTTCACCATGAGTACAATCACCCCCTTTCAGTCGCTTACGTGGACATCAAGGAAGCCTTTGACTCTGTAGCCAGCTTTGGGATATCCTCTCCTCAAAGGGAATCCTGGACACGATTTTAGATCTTATCATGGTTTTACACCTAGACACAAGAGCCAAGGTCAGGGTTGGCAACGAACTATCTCCCTCCTTACTGACTTCCTCCGGAGTTCGGCAGAGCTGCGTGCTGGCACCAACCTTGTTCTGCTCAGCCATGGACACAATCCTGTCACAATGTGAGGATTCACTGGGAATTGATGTAGGCGAGCACAGGTTTACCGACCTCCTGTATGCAGATGATGCCATCCTCTTCACTAAGGATCCAACCAGATGGGGGGAACTTCTCGCAACCTTGGAGCGTGAGGCCAGTTACATAGGCCTTAAACCATCATGGACAAAAACCAAGGTTCAGTTACTATGCGGTCAAGCACCTGTTCAAATTTCCCTGGATTCCGATGTTGTCGAACCCGTTGAGTCCTTTTGTTATCTTGGGTCAGTATCCCAAGATTCATCAGGTTTCTGCAGTAAGGACATACTATGCAGAATCGGCATCGCCAGTACCATCATGGGCCAACTTGATCATCTTTGAAGGAGCAAGGCCAGTCTTTCAGTAAAACTTCGGTTTTATTGCTCGTGTGTGCTCTCTGCCCTCCTTTATGGGTCCAAAACCTGGACACTACGCAAGAAAGAAGATGAACGCATTCAAGCTTTTCACATGCAGTGTCAGCGTCGCATACTTGGAATCCGATGGTTTGACTTCATTTCCAACGCAATCATCCAGCAGAGTATGGGGCTTGGTAGCATTTTGTCTGAGATCTCAGGGAGGCGACACACCCTTTTTGGTCAAGTTTGGCGCCTCCAACCTCCTGCTCCTTCTTGTCTTGCCCTTGATGCTTCTGTCCAGTTCCACCTTGAGCAACAGTCTGCCACCTGGTCCAGGCCTCGTGGTCGTCCCCGGCTTACCTGGCTTAAGCAGGTTGCAGATGCTGTGCAGCTGTCACCAATCGAGTGCTGGTCTCTTGCCCCTCACCGGGGAGGTTTGGGGTCACTACAACCCACTGATGGTCAAGTGCAGCAGTAGTAGTACCGTAATTTTCGGAATATAAGCCGCGCGGCGTATAAGCCGCAGCACGCAAAAATCTGCAAATTAAGATTTGAAGTCGTCGTATAAGCCGCACCGGCGTATAAGCCGCACCGACCGCTGCGGTTTCAATTTTGTAAGGCCTCCAAATTCTAGTCAAAATGCTCTGAACCAGTTCCATTTACACTACAGAAGCTATTAAAAGGGCCACAAAAGTTATATCAAATCATTTACAATCGATACTTTTACAAACATATATGGGAATTGATGAGAAATAAACACCGGGAACTGCTGCCGGCTGCCCCGTCATAGCCCGGCAGCCTGCGCCACGCACGCCGGTGAATGACAACATTTTCCCACAGCACGTGGGAGAGTATGAAACCCACCGTGTGTTGTCTGACTGGAGCGCTACAAATCTTGCTTTGTGGCAACAGATGCTGATTTGTTTTGTCCTACGAATAAACATGCAGGTCCGTTTTTACCTCAAAACTTATCAAATTGTTGCGATTACTAAGGAGTAGTTGCGATAAAAATTCAAGTTTCAATCGTAACTTTCTTCGGAAATAGCCAAAACGAAGCGGACATTTTAATAGACGAATCCATTAATTTTGTAAGGGGTGATTTAGTCCCTCTTTTGAGTTTTACATCGTTTCTTGAATACATTTCAAGAAAACAAAATATATTGTGACGTTGAACAACTGATTATGTAATAAAAAAAATGTTTCGAATGCCATAACAATTTTAGTCGTCTTTTTTTTTTTTTTAACAGCGGAAATATTGGTAATTATTGTTCCCAAGAAAGAACACCCCTTTATTACCACAAATGGTGTGGTCCGCCTGGGGGGAAAGCATGCTGCATATCGCTGCTGCACTGTACCAGTATCACGTACGGCTGGTTGCAAGTGTCAAAGACAACTTTCATCACCGTACTTTTTACCGCTCGGTACCTTTACGTGAGACGTGGTTTCGGTTTGTTAATGACTTTCTTAATTTATAATTCATTTCAGCAACACATCTCTTCTTGTACCAGTACATAAAATACACATGTGAATCTTATTTTTATTCTTCAAGGCTCGGCGTATAAGCCGCCCTGTATATAAGCCACAGTAAACATTTTCATGGGCAAATTCAACGTATAAGCCGCGGCTTATATTCCAAAAATTACGGTAGTATATCTACTGAACCGAAAGTCTGATCGGGTTCAAACTCAGTAAGTAGGTATTTTGAGCCGTGTTATAGAAAAAATTGCTGTGACGTCGCGATGACGTCATCATGTGATTTTTATATGAATAATTCAATTTTGGACCTTTAAGTCATATCTCATCAATGGAACGTACTAAATTCGAAATTCTTTTTGTAATAGGTTTGTTAGGTCGTAGATAGATACAGAAAATTTCGAAAAATGTGTGACGTCATCATGACGTCACCAAAATGTGATTTTTGATTCACACAAGGGTATGTCTGATCGTTATGAAACTTGGTGGGTAGGTAGGTATTGATAACAGCATTCAAAATCTGAAGTGACGTCATCATGACTCATCATCTGATTTTTTATTCATTTAAAAATTTTTAATATTGTCTTCTCATTACCAAAAATTACATAAAATACAATCCGATTGACTTCAAACCTGGCACACACTTTAGACCAGCTTCTGAACATTCTGTTTTCCATAGGACAAACACTGAGCTGTTTCAACCATTTTAGCAGCAACTGCCATGACAAAGTTTCATCCAAATCGAATGAAAACGTACAACACCCCACTTTGGGACTTCTTTTTTGGGGTCTTTTTTTTTTTTTTTTAACATCGGATCGACACTCAGACCACCATTTATAGAATACTCATGTATGTTTTCATTCGATTTGGATGAAACTTCGTCATGGCAGTTGCTGCTAAAATGGTTGAAACAGCTCAGTGTTTGTCCACAAACACATATCTAGTTTTTCTTGTTCCCCCCCCCCCCACTTTTTCCCCATAGGAAAACACGTGTTTTTGTTCTACACAGGACTTTGGGACTTTTTTCACATCCTATCGACTTCAAACCTGGCACATACTTAGACCACCATCTGAAGATTAAGGCCGAATCATGACGTTATCGTGACGTCATCACGTGTCACGCGACATCTTATAAGTGCATATTTTAAGGCCCTATATCTACAAAACCAGAAGTCCGATTGGGTTCAAACTTGATATGCAGGTATTCCGGGATGTGTAATATAGACAAAAATTGCAGTGACGTCATGATGATGTCATCATGTGATTTTATATGAATTATCCAATTTTTGGACCTTTTACTCATATCTCATCAACAGAACGTGGTAAATTTGAAATTCTTTATGTAAAAGGTTTGTTAGGTCATAGATAGATGCACACAATTTTGTAAAATGTGTGACGTCATCATGACGTCATCAAAAACCTGATTTTCTGATTAACATATATAGGGTATGTCCATTCGTTATGAAACTTGATGCATAGGTAGGTATCGATAAAAGCATTCAAAATCTGAAGTGACGTCATCATGACGTCATCATCTGATTTTTTATTAATTTTTGCAATTTTACTATTTTCGGCTAATTACCAACAATAACAAACAAAACGATCCGATCAACTCCAAACGTGGCACACACTTAGACCACCATCTGAAGATTCATACATCATCATGTGTCACGTGACGTCATCCTAAATGTGCATAATTTAAGACCCTATATCTACAGAACCGGAAGTCCGATTGGGTTCAAACTTGGTATTTATGTATTCCGGGACGTGTTATAGACAAAAATTGCAGTGACGTCACGATGACGTCGTCATGTGATTTTATGTAAATTATTCAATTTTTGGACTTTTTACTAATATCTCATCAACTGAACTTGGTAAATTCAAAATTCTTTTTGCAAAGGTTTGTTAGGTCGAACAGCTCAGTGTTTGTCGAACAGCTCAGTGTTTGTCCACACACACATTTCTAGTTTGCATTTGTACATGTGTTTGATTTGACATATGTCTTTCTGTGCAACTTAGGGTAGAACCTAATTTTCATGTGAGTTAGCTCCGCTTCAGTTTTGGTTTTGGTATTCCTCATCGGAACCTTTCTCTGATAGATTGTTCCAATATAAATGATGGTCCAGGTGATAACAAAGAAAGTTACAATACTCACCGTCTCCGTAATGTTATTCATGATAAATACAAGAAACAGCGTTTGAACAACACTTTGGGTCACCACACACAATTTTAGCATTTCTTCATCACGCGTCCAGGCCATCAGCCATGACAAGCTCCAGTCAGAAGTCTATAAAGTAGACGCCATCTACACGCACACTGGACAGATGGTACAGATGAAAACCAGTTGATTCCCCGCCTTTAAAAACCTTATCTAAAAAGTCATGTGTAGAGATTGTGAGTGAAACTAAGCTCAAACAGGTGGTATTTGAGCAGATTATGTTCAGCGATCTTTCATAACTTGCTCTCCACTCGCGCATGGGCACAACAGAAAATAATAGAAAAGTGTATGACAGTATCTGAAGATGTTTGGTCCATGTGTAGTTGAAATGAGTACTGTTGAGGGAAATCTATCTATGTAGCCAAAGATCTTATATTATAACAAATTATATTATTATTATATTTAAGCTGTTGGCATTTTTGCATTGGGTATGAAATTCATTGGTCTATTTTGTTATTTGCTGCAGGTCAGCGGTTTATTGTTACAGCTGGCAACATGTGGATGACAGATATGTCAAAGGCGCTAAATGAAGAGTTTAGAGACCAAGGTAAAGTTTGTAATTATGTAGTTGTTCCAAACTTTAAGTTTATGTGTATGGAAATCCTTACGTGTTGTTTAAACATCTTTACCCCTCAAAAAGTTGTATAAGTACCACTTTGCCATGAAGTTTCCTTAAAAAAATTCACAGATTTGTTTACCCATTAAGAGAGATAAGTAATTAATGAAATGCCCCTTAGAAACTTCCTTTGTTAAGTGATCCCTGAAATTTAGATAATAATCATAATAGTAACTAGATTTATGTCTGTTAAGAACAGAACATATGGGCAATTCCACGGTTACTCGCATTACACTTTTTTGCACCTTTTCGTGTTCCGATTGCTGTGGTTTTAGCAGTAGTCGGACTATCTATCTCTTATGCTGCATAAATATACCCTATATTCAAGGCTTCACCCTAATGGTAAAAAAAATATGTTCATACCATGACAAGATCCTGGCAATCTTCGAAAAAACGGTTACTCGCATTACACAAAAAGGACATGCCAAAAAATGGCTCTGATTTGATTCCCCTGTCTGCTTAATTTGAAAGTGCAATGACCAAATTAATATATTTACAGGACACCTACCATAGTACTTAACTGAAATGGTTAATAAAAATGAAGACCCAAATCAGATATAAATTATACGGCAAGAAAGGTTGGTTACTCGCATTACGGTTGCTCACATTACAGTTTGTCCACACTTTGGCTGGGGTCAAATACAAATTTTACACCCACAATATTGATCAGATTTTAACAGCATGGAGTTGCACAACCCTAAACGTATGGACTGAAACCAAAATAAAGCCAACAAAAATTACTCGCATTATGGTTACTCGCATTCCAATTTGGTTCATTTGGTTGGAAAAAAAATCAAATCTCAATCAGGATAGGTCTAATTCAACCTAAATAATTTTATCAAACAAAACAAATGGCTAGGATATACAAATAATCAATTTATCATTCTTTAAGTATCAGTATAATTAAAAGATTACCAATCAATCTTAATTTGTATTTTAGAAAAGTTTGGTGGTGCCCAGCACAGTCCTATTGAACTTGCTGAACAATACATGTACATGGCAATATAATAACTCTTAAAATGTCATTTATGCATATTTACTGATAACAATCCCTCATCAACTCTCAAATTTGCTCTAACTGTTTGTACATCAACATTAGATTGATTGTACACAATGTGATTGTATGCAAATTATGAGCAACTTTTGATGTAGGCCCTATGAATTCTAATACTTTTCAGATATGTGTACCACAAATCCTAGTCTGCATCACTTTACATTTTCAAGGGGCTTACATTATTTCTTCTTATCAAAAAACAGTAAATCAGTATTTAAAAGTCAAAATTTTTATTCATTATCATCATGGAAAGTTATATGGTTACTCGCATTACAGTGGTTACTCGCATTACCGGTTACTCGCATTTCAATTTTTGACACCTCCTGATGACATTATGCTTGGTATCATTTTCATTTCTTTTATCAATTCAATAGTTGTTACTTAGGGAAGAAGCAAAATATGAAATGGCAAAGACAGAATCAATTTCATTCAACAGCAATGTCAAAAACGTGATCTTTTGGTTACTCGCATTACATACCCAAACCAATGCAACAAAATTGCACCAACACTGCTATACAAGGAGCCATGGTCCAAAATTTGTTAATGTTTTGAGAAGATCTGAAGTCAAAGTATCAAAGTAAAATATAGTTTTAATAAGGCTAGTTCTGTGTGAAAATAACCAACCATTTGAAATTTGAATATTGAAAGGCTAATTTTTTTCCCGCCAAAGAACACCTTTAGTAATCTGAATTTTTTCACAGAAAATGATGAAGGATTGGTGAAAAAAGTTTATATCCTGATCCTTACATGTGTTAGCAATAACTTAAAAGTAAACTAGAGGTTCGCGTTTGTTGTTACAAACGCAGAGTGGTCGGGCAGGCAATTTGTTCATGAAACACTGACGAGTTAAGTTATGAATATGTTTATGTAACAACAAAGGATCACAAAATTAATCCTTTCCATCAAAATAAATTATTTTGCTGAAAAATGCATCTTTAACGGTGTGCTAAATTTTCGCAAACATTTTATGTATACATACAAGTTATTTCTGGCTTGATGACGTCATTCTTAAAAAAACGGGAAGTGAATACTGATTTAGTTCGGAGTGGATAAATGTTTGTTTGTGAAGTTAAATAACATATGCAAATATGGAAAATATAACTGTATGTATTTATAACACCTAACTTCCGGTTTCATGACGTCACTAGTATTTGGAAGCAAAAGGTTAACATTAATTGTTATGGGATCGTTATTTGGGCTACGAAGATATACGACATGGATCAAATGATAGAATTCAAGATGATCATTTTCAAATGCTCATCGACGTAACTTCCGGTCTGATTACGTCATGAATTTGAAACCTTGCCAAGTTATCTGTGGTTAATCAAAGAATATCAAGGGCGATTTGGTAAAATTGGAACCGATGTTCTTCAGATTAAAGAAAACAAACACAATTTTATGTGCCGCTAGGGGCGCCCTTTCGGATTATGACGTCATCACACAGTTTTTGTGACTTGCATTTCTCACTGAACCCTTGCATAATATATATGTCTGTACTAAAATGCTTCTGCTTTTGCGTTATATTCAGTTTTCATTGCACTTCCGGTAACACCGGAAGAAAAGGTCAAGTGGTTTTGTGTCCGGAACAAGAAATGTTTCTCACGGCATAAACCTCACGAAAAAAACGAACACGATACTCTATTTAGCACAAACTGTTTTGTCAAAATGTGCCCTTATCGCTTGTAATTTAATACCGGATGACGTCATGATGACGTAACAAAATGTATTACATCCTCGTATTAAACATGGTACAAGTTCACACAAGTTTTTGTGATTGTACCGTAAACCGTTTGGAAGAAATTTTGCTTTGTTTTGATTTCAGGCTAACGTATTCATTTTGAATTCACCTAACTTTGACCTTCCGGTAAACCCGGAAGTAAATGTCAAGCGAGTTTACGTACATGACAAAAAATGTTTATCAATTAATGGTCTATCTGATTACAGAATACAAACATCATTGATTACTTTGTTCAAGAGTTATCGATGAACGTAATTGGTCACTTTTCCAGCTAAAATCGCTTGTAATTTGACACCCGATGACGTCATAATGACGTCAGAGTAATATGCACCACTTGGGATGAGGGTCGATTTATATTGAAAGTTACAAGTTCATATCATAAACCGTTTAGGAGAAAACCCGCGGAAACGTGCTGTACGGAAAAAAAGAAAAGAAAGAAAGACTAATTCTAACAGATTCAAAGAGTGGTCGGGTTGTGCCCGACCACTCAAAAACAAGCTCAGGAATGAATTTCAATTTTTGGGGTCATGTCTCTGTTTGCTTGTAATCGCCCATATAGCTTTTCCATATTATGATTTTTTCATGAGTATGCTTTTTGTCGATGTGCAGACATGTACATGTAAATGATCCGTTTAACTTACAAAGTTCAAAGTCATGTCAATTTACGTCTATAACACATCCCTGTCTATACATGCATAGTTGCAGTGCAATTGGACTTGTACTTCTCTAGTTTTAAATTAGTGCTGCAACTGATCCTCAAAGTTCGGTTTGGTTCAGTTCGGTTGGGGTTTAATTTTTTTTCTCTGAACTTCGTTTCGGTTTGAATTCGGAAGTGCATACATCGAACAAACGCGTGTGTACCTCGCACGTCTGACAGAAATAGGTACTGCAATTTCCACATGCTATACAAAACAAGTTGAAGAAGGAATCTCATTTTTGTTGTGTAAACAAAATACTATAATCATTTGAGTTTATGACGTTGAGAAATGAACATCGTAAATCGCTACATGTTACCGGTATATAATGGCGGCCCTCGGGCTATCCCGGCCTCGGCGGCAGGGCGAACTATGATAAAAAATTTTCCCACGACGCATGCTGATTTGTTTTGCCAACGAATTCCGTCCGCGTCCGAGCATGCTCTGAGCTCTAAAAACTTGCTTCGTGGCAATAATTGCTGATTAGTTTTGTTCTAAGAACAAACAGGTCCTTTCACTGTACTAAACTTATAAAATTATAATTATTTGTAGCAACAAGCTGACAAATAGCTACCTTAAAAAAAATCAACTTTTCGTTTCGCGACTGACTTTCATTCTGTGGACGGATCCATTAATTTAGTAAAGGGGTGCTCCACCCTCTTTTGGGAGATTACATCGTTTTTATGCCCCGCGGCGAAGCCAAAGGGGCATACTGTTTCCGCCTTGTCCTTTCGTGGGTGGGTGTGTGGGTGGGTGTGTGTGCTCTTGCATTGCTGTATGTTCGAGGTCAAAAACTTGATAACACACCAGTCGATTGAGGACAAAATTTACGTTCGAGGACAAAAACACGCATCCTCGAAAGAACATCGTGCGCAATCAGAAGAAAATGGTGTTCGTGGGTGTACATGTATGGTATTACGCTCAAGGACAGACAACAAAGGAGCACAAAGGGGCCTTTCATCCTCGGACGACGGTGCCTATTGTCCTCGAATGCCGGTTTGCATGCTTAGTTTATGGGAAAGGTTTAGATAAGGGAACAAAGGAAAACACAAAGCCGATCCTCGGAAGCATAGCAAAAAACGACTGTGTGTGTGTGTGTGTGTGTGTGTCGGGATAAATCTTGTCAGCGCGATAACTTGAGAAATACTTAACATATGAACTTCAAATTTGGTTTGTGTATTGTTCTTGGTAATCCTAAGAAGCCTATCGCATTTGGGGCCGATAGGTCAAGGGTCAAGGTCACATTGGCTAAAACAATAGAAATTTTGTCAGCGCGATAACTTATTAGAAATTACACTGTTAAAAAATTTGTGCTACACTAGCTTCGATAAAGGTGAATAAAAAATTCCGTTTTTTAATCTAAATAATTCGACGTTGGATCAACCCCGGCATTAACATGCCGAGAGGCCGCGGGCGAAAGCGGAGGGCACGGGAGATCGGCGGG